GGTAGGGGGGGGGGCGGACGCGGCGGCGGCGGCGGCGGCGGAGAAGGAGGAGGACGGTGGTGGTGGTGGTGGTGGCGGCGGCGGGCATTTCTTAAGGGAGGTGGTGATCGTGGAGGACTACAGCGAGTTCAAGAGGTCGATGCCGCTGCTGCCCCTGAGGAAGCCGACCCGCGTAGCGGCGGTGGAGCCGGAGCAGTCCAAGCTTTGATGATGGGAACGTTGCCGGTGTGCCTGGCGTTTTTTGGCGGGCGGTGTGGCGAGGCTCGCGCAGTGGAGGGGATCGGAGGAGGAGGAGGAGAGGAGGAGTAGGGATAGTTGGAGGAGTAGGGATAGTTTGGGGTCCATCGTCTCTGTCGAAGAGCAGGGATTCGATGTGTTGAAATAGAGCGCTCTTGCTGCTGTAGGCTGTAGCCGGCTGTATGATTGCTGTATGAAATGATACGTAGACGTGGTGACAAGGCACCTCGATACACCACGTGTCCACACTCGAGACTGTCGTTTCTAGATCACCAATAGGTTATCGACAGCAGCAGCAGCTCTGTTAATTTGTAACCGAGACGCAAGCGAAGGCGATGATTTGAATTGGTTTTGTTGGCCCCGTGATCTGGGCGAGGGCGAGGGCGAAGGCAGCAACCAAGCAAGACTGAAGTTGGTACCAACCGCCTCGGGTGGGTTGATGCGTACGAGGATGCGTTTGTTTCCCGCCGCCTTTGGGTGGTGGCCTGGCTGGTACGTAACTCAGGGTGGTGGTTTGGAGGCCACCCTGCTGTTGTTGTTGTGGTTGGTCGCACGAGTTTTGGAATTTTTCTGGTTCAATTTAAAACAAAGAATTACTGTGTATTCCTGCTGCCGTATACACCTGTTTTGCCTCAACCGGTGTAGGCCATTCATGCCTTTCGTCCCAAAGTGTGTGTAGGCAGGCGTGTTGCTTATGGTCTCCCAGAAAAAGCATCATCCAAAAAGCGGCTACGGCGGACGCGTATGGAGTTGTGTTACGAGCGTGTACTCCATGTGATATATGTTATTGCATTGCTCTCTTTTGCCCGGACACACGCACACATACCGCTCCCGTCCAGTCCCCTGCACAGCAGTGCCTTGTCGGGGAATCCTTTTGTGTCTTGTGGACTAGGAATCGTTCTCATTGCTGTGCTACCGTCAAGGTTGACAACTAACTCTGCGTTGAGAGCTGGCGTCGTCACGAGAAAAAGGCATTTCCCTTCAACATCACACGACACATCACAGCAAAGGGACCTTTACAAGCGCTATACACCAGCGATGCCCAGGACTGCCGCGCCGACCGGCTGGTTCACCAGTCAGTGGAGAGAGACGTTGTCAGTGTTCAAGCGGGAACAATACTGCTGCTGACAATACGCGAATCTTTACTGCTGTCAGCTCGGTTGTAGCCTCAAACAGCCGCAAAGGCAAATCTACCCTCTGTAAAGTTTTGCACCTGCTCGTAAAATCACGCTCGTGTTGTGCAACGTTCAAATTGTTATCATCGGTGCACTGCTGTTGCTGCGCCCCCTCACCTCCTCGTGTTGCACACACTACTACGGTCTGCGTGCCTGTTGTCTGCTGTCGAACATGATCTTTAAAAAAATTCAATTTTTTTGGGGTCCTCCATGCCCCATCAGATCCTTTCGATTTCATGAACACAGGGCTAGATTTTCGACACATCAGAGATCGAAACGCTTACAGTTATTCTTGCCCATACCAGGCGTACGAGTCAACGCGTGGCACCGAGTGTGTGGAGCAGTCGCAGTGCAGCGCCGCCCTGCGAAGGAACAGCCACAGAGCATGCCCTCGCCCCCCCCTCCCCCCCCCCCTCGCGGGCTCCGGTAAACTTTGGTTGCGATGCCCCCTTGCCTATCTCTCCCCCACGCCCCGCACCCAGCACAGCACAGTAGTAGCAGCAGTTTGTGCAAATCGAGTGCGCCAGCAGCAGTAGCAGCATAGAAAAACCACGGCCTACCTTGTCTGGTTTCCCCTGCTGTTTGGGTGTTGGTTGCAGCAGAGTATCCACCCCCAACGACGCACACCTCGGGTGCAAGCGAGGCCTTTGCTGACATCAGCATACCACGACGCAAGGCAGGTCAACAACAACACGAGCAGCAGCGTAGACGTGTCCCATGTCTTCGTCTCGACTAGCCGCCGGCATGGCGCGTCGCGCGGCGGGGCTTACCACCGTCGGCAACAGCAACAGGCTGATCTTGAGGCAGCAATCCTCCTCTTCCTCCTCTCGCAGTACATGCGGCGGCGGCGGCGGGGGCGGGGGCTCCGCAGCTCTCGGGACCGTCGCAGCGCTAGGAGCAGCGACCGCGATATCGGCGGCTGTAGGGACGGCTCTCGTTGTTGCCGAGGGCGGCGCGGGCGGTGGCGGCGGCGGCGGCGGCGGGGGGGGGGGCTCGCCAGNGGTCTCGCCAGAGACCGGCGGCGGGGCTTGGGGCAGACGAGGGATGTCGCAGGGGAAGTACTATGGGCTCAAGCAGGGGGACGCCGGGGCGGGGGAGACAGTCCAGGGCGAGGATGACAAGTTCTTCGACCCTGACTACGAGTACCTCATGGTGAGGGTTGACGCTCTTGTTGCAGTAGCACACCGTAGTTTATCACTTGGAGGCTCTTGTCGCGTCCGTGCATAGTTTTGGGGTTCGCGCGTATCCATTGCTCATGTGTACCGTCGTTGCTTTGCATCTTTGGGAGTTGTATATTAAAGGTGTGGATCATGTTGTCCAACAGCAGCCCAGCTGACTGTGTACGAAGTATGGTCTGGTCATGTTAGTCTCAGCGTAGTCCGCCAGCTGTGTATGAATTTCCAGCTGTGGATGAAATATGGTCTGGTCATGTTAGTCCCAGTGTAGTCCGCCAGCTGTGTATGAAGTATGATCTGGTCATGTTAGTCCCAGTGTAGACTATTCCGCCAGCTATGTATGAAGTATGGCCTGGTCAGTCCCAGTGTAGTCCGAGGAATTCCGACCAACTATGGTTGGAGAGGAACTTCGCCCGAGCATCGTGTTTTTCAAACCAAGTTCATGTGTTCAAACCAACTTTATGTGTGTGTAGGGGGGTGCACTTGCAGAACACCTCGCTGAGTCTTTTAGATCTCGTCTATACTCCCTGATAGCGGCTCTGGACTCTGCCTAAACAGCGCACAGTCGTGGCGGCGGCGCGCGCACTCAGTAAGTTAACCCACCCGCAGTGAGGGAGGGGGGAGTGGGGTGCATGGTGTGTGGAGTACGCGTTGCAGCGTCTCAACTCAGAGTAAGGGCAATGCTACGAGATCGACAGGGATAATGACGTGGTTTGCGGGTAACAATGAGAGAGGGAAGACAAAGAAGCGAGTCCCCCCGCTCCGGTTGGCCATGTCTCAGTGAGGAGCAAGAACTGCTGTGTTCCGTCCGTCCCGACAGTAGTGTGTTGGATAGGGGGCGCTCATCGTCAGGGTCTGCGGAGAAAGATTGACTCAAGACCTTGGTTGTCAACGAGTGGGCAGGGCATGCTTGCCCATTCAAGGCGGAAGGGGGATCGCCCATCTACAAACACATCCCAACATGAAACACAAGACCCTGCGGCCCGCCCTCCCTACCAACCGCCCTCCCCGTGGAATCGAAAATAAAGGTGGTGGGGGGTAGCTCCAACAAGCAGCTCGCCAACGAGATCGCGGAGGAGATGGGGCTCAAGTGCGGCGCGGTGACGCTCGGGCGGTACGCGGACGGCGAGGTCATGGTTCAGCTGGACGAGCACGTACGAGGGAAGGGTGAGGGAAACAGACCAAACAACGGCAGGTAGCGGCATCCCGACCTGGAAGAACCAATAGATGGATGGCAGCAGCATGACGATACCATGAGAGCACACAGAACGACGAGTGGAGAAAACGTCAAGGGAAGCATGTGGGCAGACAGATAAAGGGGAAGAGGCAGTCCAATCCTGGTCTCCCCCTATGAAGTTGCACGACTTGTTGAAACAGACGAAACAGGAGATAGCTGCATGGCGACACCATGTTTTGTTTGTTGTTGTTGTTTCTCACGTTAGCTCTATAGTCCACAAACAATGGGGAGCCGGTGGCCTCCAAACCCGGCACATAAAACGCCGCGAGGAAACAAAACAACAAAAGGGTACAAACCACTCGGAAAAAGAAAAACAAAAAGATAGAAAGAAAAGAACGGGTACCGCACCGACCGTTCGAGAAAAGAGCCCTCGGAAACCGATCAAAATATAATGTGTAGAACGGCAGATCGAGCGGATGCCCGAGCAGACGGCACAACAGAGAGCAGCATGGAGATACCACGTGTAGAAGGGCGGATGGAGCGGAAGTTGGGGCGAGAGGGTCGAAAGCACAACGGTAAATGATTGAGGGAAAACACCGTCCACGTCTCCCGCTCGGAGTGGTATGGATTCTTGAACCAGACGAAACAGCAGATAGCAACATGACGATGCCGCATGTAGAAGGACAGATCGAGCGGGGGTCCGGGCGAGGCGGTGGAAAGCAGTGTAGACATGGGCATGTTTTTTTTTTTTCGCAGCAGCAGCAACAAGTAATAGCAACCAACACAGTGGCATTGACAACCAAATCACTCAATGGCTACAATGGCTACCTCTTCCCCCGACACAACCGGCATGGACGAAACAAATTTCAATGACCACCCCGTTCCCCCGTCCGTCCGTCGCCGCTACCGCTGCCGTCGTTTCCATGCACGTCGCGTGCTGCTTGCTACACGCACGAAAAAACACTAAATACCAAGACGTGTACATCGTCCAGAGCGGGCAGAAGCCGGTGAACGACAACCTGATCGAGCTGCTGCTGATGGTGTCCACTATGCAGAGAGCCTCCGCGAAGAGGGTCACCGCCGTCATCCCGTTGAGTGTACCTGCCTTCTTTGTTTTTTTCGCTGTTACCGCCACCACTTTCATTGTGTTGTTTTTTTTCTTGTTGTTGCTGTTGGCAATTTTCAATCGCGGTCATATCATGTCTTGTCCCGAAACCCGAGCATAGCTAATGATACGCACACACCATTTACGGCTGGGTTGGCACAAAGCGGGATTTCCTTTCCCATACCGTCGCGGAAAACGTTTTTTCAAGTCTGACGCTTTTTTCCCGTGTGGTGGTTTATGACGTGTGGGCCGTTATAGGGGGTACTGCGGTTGGCACATTGCCGCAGAAACCGCGCCATCCCCTTCCCCTCGTCGTGTTGTACGTGGACATGTTCCAAGCATAACTTGATCTCTCCATCTCTTGGTCCCTGTTCTAGAATGCGCCCCTGCCCGTGCTCTAGCGTTTCATGCTGACTCGCTTTTTCTGTTGCAGACATTTAGTTCCCTACAAGCTTTTTACTCATTTTTCCTATTCCTCTGGAGGTTTCCCAACAAGCTTTTTCCTTTTCAGTCGCAGGTACCTTCCCTATAAGCTCTGACTCGTTCCTTCTCCTTTGCAGGTATTTTCCGTACAAGCACCACCGAAGGTCCGTGCCGGTTAGCGCTGACCTGCACTCGAGATTTTTGTGGAGCGCAGGCGAGTGTTCGTGTTTATTCTGAATTTTCTTCCTCCTGAGGTGAAGTTACCTGCTGTTTTTTTTGTTTCCTCTTGTCTTGGGTGCACTCTCATTGATTCCATGTAAACATTACAGAAGGCGATTGTCTGCGTTTTTTTCGTGCCCTTGCCTTTCTTGTGTCCCCTGCTTGTGATACAGAAACCGGTGTCAATAGGGGTACCAGGCGTTGTACCCGTTGTGCCCCCCCCGAAGTGTGTCTCTGAGACGCAGGAACGTCGCTCAATGATGTGCGAGAAACGAGACCAATGCCCATGGCGTAGGGGGTGCGTTTTCATAAAGATATAGATACGCCCCCCCTATTCCGTCTCGTCCTTCAATCGAACAAACAAAACAAAGCTGCCGATGCTGGGAGATCTGCTGGAGGTGAGATGGGCGTACAGTGGATCGCCTGATTGCAGTGTGCACCTCGATAGTACATAAATACACACACCCCTTGCCCCTCCCCCTCGTCATTCAATCGAACGAAAAAACACAGCCGCCGATGTTGGGCGATTGCTGGAGGTGATGGGCGTAGACCGCGTGATCGCGGTGGACCTAGAGAGGCCCGGCACCGGTTCCGGCGGCGCATTCCTCGGCCCCGGCATCCCCGTCGAGACGCTGCTGACGACCAACATCTTCGCGGAACACATCGCCGAGAGGATCCTTGGCAAGGACAAGTCGCACCAGCGAGGGGTCACGGTCATCTCGGTGAGACTCGTTAAGGGAGAGAGGGGGGGGGGTGGTGGCTAAGGG